TACAGCCGGGATAAGCGCTGTTAGGGCACGCAGGAGTCTGTTCGGGGCGAAGTGTGCCTTGCGGTGCCGCGTGTCTGCCCTGTGCGCGGAGAGCGCTTTCGGAAACGTCCTTGGCAATCGAATTTCAAACCGAGACCCGAGCGTGTTACTTGCTTTCAGGGTCCTTTCCGTGAAAACCCATCGCCATTATGACAGAAGTTCTTGTAACTACTGTGTAATAGGACATTGTTCAAATAATTTATTGCGGATAATGCCTTGTGCTTATTTGAAATGCAACTCATTTGGCTCAGGAGTCCAATAACTAACAAATTAACAATGATGTCTATATGAATTTGTGTTGACTGAGTTTAGTGTAATTAGTGTAATAATGTTAACGCTGAAACGGACTACTGGGTTCAAGTATTGCACATCAGCACTTTAATCTCAAAGCCACTGCAGTACTGTTTATATAAACTTTACTAAAAATGTAAAAAAATTATTATTTTAGTAGAAAGTCTGTTTCTGATACTATAAATGTATCAGTTAGAACTATAATAGACTCTGTTCAAGCTTTATTTTTGCTATTAGTTAACTGAAATATATTTGGTGCTGGATAGAAATTATATGGACTAACTGGATGAGCCTGAACAGTATGAAACACTGAATATTTTTTTTTTTTAATTAGCCTTAGTTTGAAACACTGTTGTTTTCCACATTTCCATTCCATTTCCACATTCCACAGATACTTCTGATGCATTAAGAGAGTGGAGAAATTGCATCTTAATAAATGCAATTTTCACTGCATGTGGCAAAAAGTAGAACCATCAATTCATTGCAGTCTACGGACACTGGAAGAGTTTGAGATTTGACTATTTAAAGAATGTATCACCACTTCTTTTCCTATGAAAGACGCACCAAGTTATACTTGTGGACTTATTTTTTGCAGAACTTTTTCTTTAAAATGAAAACATAGTTTTAGCAACAGTGGTAATTTTTTCCTAGGACTGTGGATGTGTTTCCAGGGGATTATTTCTTCTAAGACATACATACATCTTTATTTAGACTTTCAAGCATCTTATTTTTAAGCTTTAGATCTTTTTATGAAATACAGTGGCTCACTTATGCAAGATTTCACAAGAATCCGTAGCTGGTTCTAGAATTATAATCAATTTCCAATTCTAATTATGGGCTCATTTTCTCATTCCACATAAAATTACTGCAGTTTTAAGACTGCTGGTCTGTAAAAATCTTGCATGTTAAGCTCTTTGCAGTGCTTAAATCTGCAGTACAACTGATTTTCTGTATTTGTTGTCCTCGGAACACATTTTATCCTGTCCATGTTTGTTTCAGTTCTATGTATTAATTTGCTTTTGTTTCAAACTCATTTTTTCTAATAGACACATCCAGTGATGACTATATATCTAGTTCATTGTGAACAGTTTGGTTTTTTTTTTTAAATTTTGATTTCACTGTGAAAAATAAATCCAGTTGCATTTAGATGTGAAATATTTTGAGCGGCACTCTACCTATTTGAACAATTTACTTGATATTGTTCTTATGAGGATGAACATTACCAGATTTTACTGATCTTTCTTTCATTGATAATAATTTAATTTTTATGCTTTCATCTGAATTTGATGTTTACATTTAAGTAATAAATGTTTTTACATGAGTGTGACGTGCAGAAACAAACTCCAGAACTCACGGAGAGTTACAAAGCAGGCATGTTTATTTCCACGCCGAGTGCAAGGGGGATCGCTCCTCCAAACTTGCACATCAAGTAAAATGAAGATACATATTATATACCATGAGACATTTGCATATTCACAGTACATTACATATTCATATTCATTGTTATTCACAGTTAGGAGTGGTTGTAAGTTTCTTGCTTCTAATTTAAGTTATTATGCATCCTCAGTAAGCACTACTGAAACCTCTATATTAACTACATGTGCTACCCAAGCGGGGTTTTGCCCTCTTTCAGGGCGGCCATTTGAGTGGGAGGTCGTGATCTCCCACTACCACAATTACCTCTGTCCTGCTCTCAGCTACTTTATTTTTGATGTCTGTGGGTTGTAACGTTTTATTAGCTTGGCTCCCTTCATGTCTAGAACTCCCTCTCTGGAAGGCCTCTCACCACATTCTTGCCTACTGACTTAGATAACAGTGTCCCTTCTTCTATCATTTGTTCTTTTTCTTGATGCTTCCCAACCTTGAGATGCCAGGCCAAAGAATGTGCCTGCTTTTATGTTAATTTAGCTGAATTATTTAACCCTTTGGTATCAGGTGAAATACGACAATGGTGGAAATCCGTAGTTCCACAGTGAATTTAACTGCTTTTTGAATGAAAAGGGTTAAACCACTTCCATCATAATTCCATTTGTACCCAAAATATTTTTTTGAAATAATTATGTTTTACTCCATATGAATTGTAGTCTGTGGAATCATTACTGGCTAATGTGACCAACAGCCTAATCTAAGAGTATCAGAATAAACTTACAGCTGTCTCTGAAACCTGAGGGTACAGCATCACATTTTAGCATTAAGAACAAACTTGAAAGTTTTGCAAGATGGTTTGGCTATTCAGCGAAGGAAGATGCTGTTTCTAAAAGACAAAATAAGCTTGCTTTTTTCCGTGCTGCTTTCCTGTTGTGTGGATTTTTTTTTTTCCTCTTTTTAACAGGCTAATCTGTATTTACTATTAAGAAAAATTCAATACTTTCTAGAATTTGGATTTCTGACAGTGGAACTTGCCGATTAGTGGCTCTTGCATTACAGCATGATTTGCTATCTAGGTTTGGAATTAAGGAGTTGCAATGTAAGCATTTTGTGAAGTTTTACTAGACATCTAAGGAGAAAAGAGATTCAGGAAAGTAATTTGTGGCAAAAGTTCTGAAAACCCAATATAAATGTATTACTAATTCTTGCAAGTGTGTGCATATGTTGTCTGCATAATCCCAAGCCATGGGAGATGAGTGGTCAGTGCTTAACTATGTTTGAAAAATTACCTAATGGGTCAGTAATTGGTTGGGGTTTGTTCAGATTGTGAAGTGTGTAAAAGGCATTTGTTGTGCCGTGTTCCTCGGAATGTTTACTTTATAGTACTTCAAAATCTGTGAAGTTGACATATTTGTCTGAATTTTCAATAGCAGTATGGGTTAAATACAATTACTGACCACATCGATACTTTTTCTTTCATAATATCTGTCTTCTGCATGAGTATATTCTGATAGTATTTGCCTATTGCAGGGTTTGAGAAACAAACCAAAGAAAACAGGACATGTGAAACCAGACCTCATAGATGTTGATCTTGTGAGAGGTAGGTCCTGAGCTAGAAAAAACTGAATTTCTCAGTATAAAAATAACTGCCATTCTGTGTCTTGCAAGAAGACGGTATTACTAAGTTTAAAAAAAAAAAAAAACAAACCAAAAAAAAACCCAACCAAAAAAAACCCCAAAACCAACCAACCAACCAACCAAAAAAAAACCCCACAAAAAACCCAAAACACCAAAACAAAAAAAAAACCCACAACACACAAACAAACAAAACCCTATGTAACTCCTCTCTAAAGAAGGTGGTTTGGAAGTACTGTTAAAAGATGACCTCTGGATTAAACTGAAGGCTTAAATACTTGATTTAAATTTTGTTGTATAAATCTAAATTTTGAAAAAAGACACACAAGGATTGTTGTGGATCAAAGTTCTCAAGTTATTAGTTCAGAAATCTCCCATGGCCATGCATTCAGACTTCTTCCATCTAGAGGAAAGGTTATGTTTAAACTTCTGGAAAGCAAAAACTGTGTAGCCTCGAATATTTCTTGCCTGTTTTAAATAACAAAAGAGAAACAGAAGGTCAGATGATAGGAGACTTTTTTTGAAAAGTCTTTATTTAGTCTCAAGTTATTTTTATCTTTATTTAATTTCCCTCATGCCTCTTGAAGGCTAAGGAAAATATTATTTAGCATTTTTTTTCCATGAGCCCAGCAGCCAGCATGATCTCCTGAATCCATTCCAGGTAGTGCTCTTTGAATTCTTTCTCAAATTTACTGACGCACCCTGCTGTGCCCTTGCCCTTAGACATACACCGGCACCCTCACACCCAGAGCTGGCCTTTAGAGACCCCGCTCACCCCCTTGCTCCCAGACCGCCTCACCCCTTCACCACTTGGTCTGCCTTGATCTTCGCCAGTGCTCGCTCGCGCGCCAGCGCTTGCTCGTGCACCCGCGCTCGCTCAGGTTGCTGCACCATGGACGAGCGGCCCCCTGACTCATCCTCTGATGTCTGACTCCCGGTGCTGGTCCTCGGCCCCTCACACACGCTCATGGAATAGACTGCCCCTCACCCAGGAGTGAGTTAGAGGAGTTTAATAAGAAGATGGTATGGACTGTGCTGGTTGGGTGCATGGTGCAGCCAGACAATCAGCATACTGAGCAGCAGCTATTTACGCATGACCAGTCCTTTTTATCCCCTTACCCCTTAATTTCTCCACACTTGTTCCTCCTCAAATCACCTAAACCCCTCTTTTCTCCCAAGTCTTCCCGACACATCCCAGCATTTTGAGGGAGCTGGAGTTGTTTAGTCTGGAGAAGAGGAGGCTGAGGGGAGACCTGATCGCCCTCTACAACTACCTGAAAGGAGGTTGTAGCGAGGTGGGGCTTGGTCTCTTCTCCCCAGTAACTAGCGATAGGATAAGAGGAAATGGTCTCAAGTTGTGCCAGGGGAGGTTCAGGCTGGACATTAGAAAGAACTTCTTCACTGTTAGAGTCGTTAAGCATTGGAATGGGCTGCCCAGGGAGGTAGAGGAGTCACCATCCCTGGAGGTGTTCAAAAAGCATTTAGATATGGAGCTTGAAGACATGGTTTAGTGGGCATGGTGGCATCAGGTATACGGTTGGACTTGATGATCTTTGAGGTCTCTTCCAACCATAATGATTCTATAAGTCCTGTGCAATCTGAGCTCCTTCTGCCCTGCATTCCATGATAGTCCCATGCCCCTGGGCAGCAACCTCTTTTGTCTGAAGGGTGATCTGGAGAGCTGCTCCCAATGGCTCCTGATGATGGTTTCACACCTGGGCAAGGGGGCTGATGGCTCTGCTGGGACAGCCCTGGGAGGGGCCTGGTCAAGGTGTTCCTGCCATGATTTGAATTGCCCACCTGCCCTTGTGCCTATGTCCTGCTCTGGGCCTTCAACAGGCTGGTGGCTCCAGTGATGGGTCTAGAAGAACCCCGACAGGGTATTATTTGCACTCCCCCTCCAGCCGTTGTCTCTTTGAGCTCCCCTGCCAGTGTGCAGGTGAGCTTTTATCACATCACCTAACAACATAACTTTTATAAAATGGGAATGCAAGAGAAAGAAACAAAATCAGATAACGTTTGAACTTTAAAGAAACAGAACTGAAAACTAAATGTTTATAGGAATTAAGGAACAGCAGTAGACCACCTCAATATAGTGATATACATGAATAGCATTTAAATGACTGCTCTGCATGGAAGTCTAAGTTGTTATTAAATTAGTTCCAGGACTGGCAGTGTTCTACCTGTGCCAGCACAGAGCTCGCTAATGCCAGTTCTGCTTGTAAACAAGGTGGAGGTGGTGTAGCAGCACACAGTAGTTGCCCTTTCCAAGCAGTAACCTTGGCATAATTTAAGTCACACCCCCATTAAGTAAACGTTGCACAGTTTTTTAGCTGCCAGAGAAGTGGGAATTTGCAGGAAGAAAAAGAAATTGAGAGATATGAGAGAGAAAGGACATTCGAATGAGTGAGTTGAAAAATGGTGTAAATAGAGAGACAAAGACAAATTATACTTTGGGTGGCTTCCCTGCTCCTGGGGCCAGTCCTCAGTTGGACAGATACTCCTCATACTTCTCAACTTCGTTCTGTTTTCCTGAATGGCTGGAGCAATTTACAGATATTGATGTTTCAGATCCCTTTGCTGTTTTGGGACGGGGCTCTGCTGTGCATTCATGGGCATGTGGAATTTTTGTATGACTTCCTGTTGCTTCATATAAAGTTTCTGATACCTCAGTGAAACAGAAAAATTTTTAATAATGGATTTAAAAGTAATTTTGACATAGTAAGAAATGGCAATGTTTTGTTATTCACACATTCCAAAATCTAGGTATTTGTAGATGTGATATGTATATGTATTTGTAGATATGATGTGCCTGATAATGGCAGTCAAGAGGGCACCAACAATTTAAGCAAATTTTGGATTGAGAAGATAGTGAAATGGTGGGAGTCTGAGATTTATTCAAATAATTATGTTTAATAATTGCTGCTTTTAATAACTGTCTTAACTACTCTGCTATTGAACAACTGAAATTATTTCTTTTCTACTTTTAAAGGATCTGCTTTTGCTAAAGCAAAACCTGAAAGTCCTTGGACATCTCTGACCCGCAAAGGAATCGTGAGAGTTGTTTTCTTTCCGTTCTTCTACAGGTGGTGGCTACAAGTGACATCAAGGGTCATCTTTTTCTGGCTGCTTGTTCTTTACCTTCTACAAGGTAGGGTTGGATTACAGGATTGGCTTCAACTTGAATGCCTTATGTTAACCATATGGAAGCTGCTGTATGTTATTTGGCTCACTTTATGGAGTTCAGGTTTATTCTGATATTTTCAGAAAATATTGGAATGACATAGTGCCAAGAACGTGTCCGATGTGCTTCGGCTGTTTTTTCCATTGCAATGGGAAGACTATGTATCTTAACTTTATATTTCCTAGATTATAGAAGGACTTTTGAGCAACTATTAACAAACAGAAGGCAATTCACAGCTTTCAGGATGCTCGGTCTTGAGTTCTACTAATCTGACTTTGTACTTCTCTTAATTATATATAATATATAAGAGGAAAATTAGAAAGGGAGGAATGTAATGCAATGAGTCAGTATCTAACAGTGTGAAAGTCACCAAAAGAATAAGTGTATCATAAATGTGTACAACAGAAATGGAACAGAAGGTTAATGAAAGTTTGGAGCAATTTAAGTACCCTGAGAAGCTAAATGACTGTAAGTTTTCCACTGAAATCCAATTAAAATACAGTATTACTTTCTCAATTTTGCCATCTGCCCTTGCAGTTGTGATTCACTGTATCATTTGGAAATTGTATTTAAAACAAGAAATGGAGTTTAAAAGAAAAAAAAAAGAGGACAGTGCCTCTTGTGTGATGATGTTAGCAGCTATAAAATGAATTTTACAGTGCCAGTGCCCCAAAATTTGAAATATTGACAAATATGCATGTGAAGTCCTTATGTCCATTTCTGAGATAGATGCTTAAGAAGTATTGTTGCATATGTTAGTATTTGTATATACTATGGTAAGCAATCCTGTAGTGTTAACAATTTTAATCTCATTTATAGTAATATAGGTGGTAAAATACGTAAGTTATAGTTTATTTGTTACCATGTTCATAGGTGGCTTATTCTGAGAAACACCATTGTAGTAATTTTTTATGTTCCTATTCTTAAATTTATTTAAAAAAATTACCCACGCTTTATTTGTGGAGCCTTCATAAGACTGTAAAAGCAGCAAAATAGTAGGATAATGCAGATTCTGAGCACAAGCAAGTTTTATAGGACAGTAATTACAGAGCTGTGGTGTAATTAATTTTTTTCCCCTCAGATTCCTTGTGATCTATGATTTACTAAAATGATGGTTGGAATGCATTATTTCCCTAATCCATATAGTCTGTAATGTTACAAAACGACACCAGGTTAGGTGGGAGTGTTGATCTGCTTGAGGGTAGGAAGGCTCTACAGAGGGATCTGGACAGGCTGGATTGATGGACCGAGACCAGCTGTGTGAGGTTCAACAAGGCTTAGTGCTGAGTCCTGCACTTGAGTCACAACAACCCCATGCAATGCTACAGGCTTGGGGAAGAGTGACTGGAAAGCTGACCAGTGGAAAAAGACCTGGGGGTGTTGGTCGACAGCCGGCTGAACATGAGCCAACAGTGTGCCCAGGCGGCCAACAGCAGCCTGGCCTGTATCAGAAATAGCGTGGCCAGCAGAACTAGAGAAGTGATCATCCCTTTGCACTCCGCGCTGGTGAGGCTGCACCTCGAATACCGTGTTCAGTTTTGGGCCCCTCACTACAAGAAGGACATTGAGCTGCTGGAGCGTGTCCAGAGAAGAGCGACAAAGCTGGTGATGAAGGTCCTGGAGCACAGGTCTGATGGGGAGCGGCTGAGGGAACTGGGGTTGTTTAGTCTGGAGAAGAGGAGGCTGAGAGGAGACCTGATCGCTCTCTACAACTGTCTGAAAGGAGGGTGTAGCAAGGCGGGGTCGGCCTCTTCTCCCAAGTAACCAGGGATAGGACAAGAGGAAACGGCCTCAAGTTGTGCCAGGGGAGGTTTAGATTGGATATGAGGAATAATTTCTTCACTGAAAGGATTGTCAAGCAGTGGAAGAGGCTGCCCAGGGAAGTGGTTGAATCGCCATCCCCAGAGGTGTTTCAAAGGTATGTCGGTGTGGTGCCTAGGGACATGGTTTAGTGGTCAACTTGGCAGTACTAGGTTAACAGTTGGACTCGATGATCTTAAAGGTCTTTTCCAACCTGAACGATTTTATGATTCTATGAAAATATTTTCTGATATTTCTGAGGTTCTGAATTAATAAATACAGGAAAAGAAGTAATAATATTCCTTATTACACTATAGTCCAACTATTTGAAATGCTTGCCATTTAAATTGTGCTGAATTAACTGCAGAGTTTTTGATGGTTTCTGAAATAAATCGAAAGACTTTTAATGTACATGTAAGTGAAATTAAATTGAAAAAAATTTTTATTGGAAACTATTTAAAACAACCCCCCTCAAGCCTTTCTTTCTAGCACTTCCATATAAGTTCTGCTTATACTGTACTCAGAAGGTGTGCTCAGTTACTCATGTGCTCAGTTACTCATGTCATACAAAAATTGGTAAGGCAGCACCAAAACATCAAGATTCTATTATGAAAACTTAACAATAAACCACTTCAAATTCCAGTGGACATATTTCTGCCCTGAATCTGAATTTTGTATTGTAGCTCGGACTTTCTGTCATCATGACAGGTTCTCACTGACGCTGTTGTAAAATGATCTGACTTTATTTTGCTTATATATGTTTAGTTAAATGATTTTATTTAATTATGAAGCATTTTTTATAAATTTATGAACTGCACTGCTTGGAGTTATTGCTTTGAAATTGATTAGCTTTAGTAGGATAGTTGCTAGCATTTATGTAAGCCTATAGAAAAGAATTCTTTCCTTGGCTGTAGATTTAAACTCCAGAGTCAGTCTATTTGCATTGGTTTCCTTCAGTATAAAGTATGATTAGAAAAATGCGTGATAAGAGAACTACAGAGAAATGTTTTTTTTGTCCAAGGTCACGGAACAGGCTGATGAGTCGAAGTAATTTTTCTTCTGACTCCTCATCCATTTAGTTTGTAGCATTACCTTTTTTACTTTAAAAATGTTTCTATATTATAATAGGAAAATGAAGTGTGAAATTATAATGTGTATCTCTCTTGTGTATTTCTTAATAATGAAACAAGAAATTTAATAGTGATATAATGATGTTTATTGGGGTGAGATACATATATATGTACGTATGCATTTTTAAACTTGGTCATAGAAATATTTCAAAGCTTTAAGTACTATAAAAATAAATGCTTGTTGGTCTTTGAAACATACAGTTGCTTTCTTTAATACAGCTTTTTGCTCTATGTGATATAATTTCATTTGTGTCTCTTTCACAAGATAAACTATTGTAATTTAGAAAAATACAAGTTCAGATATTCTAAATAAGTAAAGAAATAATTAAGTGATGTGAGAAATTCAGTTCTGAGACCTAGCTGTTGGTAAGAGGAATTCTAGGCTAATCTGAACTACAGTGTATTGGCACACTGTGCAGAATGGTTCTTGGATTTTCCTCCCATCCTACTGAAAAGACCAGGAGATTGGTAACATTTTCTTATATCTGTGTGAAACTTCATGGTAGGAATCTACAATGTACAGATTTGTATCTTCTAGAAGATGATGATTTCTTCTAGATCACTCTGTTTTGCTAAATGTTTTTTAAGAAGCAGAAAAAAATCTTGTAGTGAAGTTTGAAATTAATTTGTGGAGCCCTAGTCCCGTAAATCATTTCACATGGATCTGTGGAGCTCTGTGTGTTCAGAACGATATGTTTATCCAAATTGTATGGTAGGAGTCGAAATTGGCTGCTTGCTTTCACTTGTATATGTGAGAAACTCAGATAAACTCATTTAGAGGTAATAATATTGTTTGTACCTTTTACTATCTGTACCTGTTTTCAAACTTTTTAATAAGTTGGATTTCTGACATATGCATACTGTCTTTCTGAGAAACCTCATACAGCAAAAACTTTGTCCACATATAGTAATAAAAGATACCCTACGTGTTCTACCTAAAACTTCTGTGCTTTAATTTAGGAAAAAGACTGTTGGGAAATTAGAAATAGAAAAATGCTTCTAATTTCTTTTTAGTGGAAGACATTGCATCCAGCTATCTGCTGTGTTAGGCGTGGCTTCATGTGACATATTTTAGGTGTTTGAATGTGTCACACAAATTTGCATGTGGCTGGATATTTTCAAGTAATTTCAGCAGAGAACTGGTGAAAGCTGTCGAACTTGTACCATGTATTTTTTGTGCTAGGAGTAGGTCTAAGTTATGGGACTTTCACTTCCTACCGGTACCAGAAGAAAGTTAAGTTCTCATGGGATGTGCGAATGTTAGGCCCAGAGAATTATTCCCCTGTTCTGTTTCTGAATTTTTTCTTGGAGTTTCTGTTTTTTTGTTTTTTTTTTTCTTGACAGCTTCTCTCAGCTGAGTTACAGAACACAGTGCTTCAAGCCGTAGAGGCAGAGCAACAAGAACATACAGAAAGCCCAGAAAAGAGAGGGATTGCCTCTTCTGTCTCCCCCATGCCTATTGAACATGTTTAGATTGACCTGAAGTCTGTAAAGATATTTCTGAGTTGTAGAAGTGGTTGAGCTCTGGGTACAGGAGCAAGAAGGGCTATGTGGGGTTGGCAATACATGAAAAGCTGGTTATAGGGTTACAAAATTAACAGTTAACTATGGAATCGGAAGCTGCCCCTCTTCCGGCCACAGGCGCTAGTTGGAGTCCTAGTCACTTCAGCTGAACTACCTCATAGTTTACATGGTTTGTCTTTTTGATCTTTCCTCATTGCTAGAATATATACACACAAGTATATATGAAATGTATACAGGGTTGCACTTAATGCCCGTCTGTCTATCCACATGAGCAATTTTGTCCTTTGACTGGAATATGGGGTTTAAGATGCATTCTGCTAGAGAATAGAAAGAGTTTCTAGTAGAGTTTCTAGTCTCAAGTCTGTTGGTCCTTACAGTATCGGAATAGATGTATGGTTCCACAGAATTGCAGGCTAGCTGAGGTTGGCAGGGACTCTGGAGATCATCTAGTCTGAACCCCTGCTCAAAGCAGGGTCAGCTAAAACAGGTTGCTCAGGGCTGTGTCTGGTCAGGGTTTGAATATCTCCAAGGATGGAGAGACTTCAACCTATCTGGACAACCTGCTCCTTGTTTGATGAGTCCTACGCTCACCTAACTTGTTGGATTGTGCTGCGTCGTTATAGGTGGTACATAATTAAATTTATTTGGGCTGCTTTAAGGATGACATTTGCTTTTTGGTTTTCTCTCCTACTGAAGCTTCACCTTAATTTAAAGTCGTTTCATGACACATCTAGCTTTTCAAATGTTTTTTCCCCCCCTTCATTCTGCTGCTTTCTTTTTGGAGCAATAGCTATAATATCACAAGTGTAAGAGAAAAGATGGGTATTAAGACAGTAGGCAACTGTTTAAATCTGCATTACTGCCTATTTCATTGCAGTTATAATTCCTTCCTCTCAGAATTATGTGGGTTGGCTTAAAATGTGGGTAAAGGACTACATCTGATTGTTTCTCTTTTTAACAAAAGCCATATAACAGGTTGACCATTTCAGACATTTCAAATATTGAACTCAACTTCATTTCCCTTCTTTTCCAGTTGCTGCTGTAGTGTTATTCTATACAGCCCAAAGCCCACATAATATACCTCTGACTGAAGTAATTGGGCCAATATGGCTAATGTTGCTACTTGGAACTGTGCATTGTCAGATTGTTTCAACACGAACTCCTAAGCCACCTCCCAGCACAGGGGTTAAAAGAAGAAGGTATAGTCTACGTTAAAGTACTTATAATTTAGGATTGTTAAACTATTCTAAAGAGTGTGCATGAAAAAATGTCAGGGTTTACAGTCTCTGCTTTGCAAGAGATGAGAAATTGGCGCTCTGTTTTTATCCGAAACTTTAAAATGGGTGCTTAATTGGTTCTCTTTAACTTTTATACGTTGACTAATTTGTGCGTTGTTTTATTTGAATGCATTGAATCTGACATTTTGCCTCAAAACAGTTTATATCTGAATAGTGGTAGAGTGACAGTATTTATATTACTGCAAATTTAATTTTAGAACTCTGTACAATAATGACTAGTAATCTCTGTGGGAAACATTAAAAGAGATGCTATTGGAAATGTAGAACTTAAGTCTTCCAGCACTTCACTGAGTATGGTTTGCTACAGTGAATCATCCCATTAAAATGGGAAAACCTGCAATAGTGAATTTTGAGAGTCTAAGCCTCTGAGGATGAGATGAAATGTATTTTAGGCTTAAGTGTTGTGATAATCAATAAGTGTTGTACTTAGTTTTATTAAATGGAGTTTATTAAATTGATGTGATAAAGCTTTAGCAAAATATTTTGAAATCTTGCTTGTTTTTGCATGCTTAAACTGCTTAACACATTATAGAACTAGTAGATTGCACTTATAAAGCTACCTTCCAATTTTAATCTCTTCTGATGAAGGAAATTAAGGAAAGCAGCACATTTGGAAGTACATAGGGAAGGAGATGGCTCTAGTACTACAGATAACACACAGGAGGGAACAGTGCAGAGCTACGGTACAAGCACCTCTTGCAGTATTGGCGCTGTCTTCAGAGATATCTGGCATGCTGCTTTCTTTTTATCAGGGTTTGTATTTATTCAAGGCTACATATGTGTTGGAGATGCACTATCCCTTTTCGAAATAAGTAAACATTGATGTAATGATTAAACTTTTGTTGATCTAGTTTTTGTTCTGAATTCTAAACTCATCTCAGTATTTGAACATGTGCAAATGTGTTGTTTCTTGACTTTTGCAAATGCTGATGCAATAATTTTGAAAAGATATTGAATTAACTTTTAGTTAAATAATATTTTGATGTAGGAGTACTCTGTGTGGGCTATCAGGAACGAACCAACTCAGTTTCTCAATTTTAATCCTGTGAGAAAATGCGACTCTTTATTTTTACAGTATTACATTAGCTGCTTATTACTCTAAGAGAATGTTTATTGAAATCCATCACTGTTATCAAATCACATACTTTTTCTGAAGGAAACACCTTCAGGATTCAAATAGGCACAGCATTTAGTTTATAAATAAACATCAAAGATACATTTTCTAATGGCTGAAAGAAACATCTAACCCTGTTACATTCCAGAGCTGTTTTGCAAATGACCAATGTGCTAATGCAGTGCTCTGGGCAATTAAGATTTTTAAAAAAAACATTCTGTAGCAGTCTCTGTTCAAGATATGCTATATATGCATCATGTAAGTGCTATATATCAGCATTTATTAACAAGAGAAAATATGCTCATAAGATACTATAAAATTGAGAAAAGGGATACTGCAAGTTATTACATCGATGTTTTGTTATGCATGCTGCATCTTAAATATGGCAATGCTAACATGTCTGTCATACTTGTGATAAGTGCTCTTAACCACTGATAAAGCTTATCTTATATTATGTTACATTCTGGGAATATCTAGTTGAAACTCTGAAGAAGTTTAAAAAAAACTCTGAAGAATGTTTAAAAATGTTACAAGAGGAGAGTTCATTTGACTTTTTCCTGTGTAGATTAAGCTAGCTTTGACAAACTATGAGTCATAGTAATACACACCACTGCTGTTCTTTGGGTCTTTATGCATTACTTTCTGGTATGTTTGGGTGTAGTCTTGTAAACTTTTGAATGTTTTCCATTCATGGAAGATCCTGATTTGCAATAAGAAAAGGAGTGTTGGAAGGTTCATTTTTTCCCTTACCTTCCCTTGTATTGGGCTCAGAGTGTTTTCAGTTGAGAAGGGCTGTGTGGGACTTGCTCTAATGACTTGTTTAAACCATTTAATAAGAGGTAGTGTGTATATAGATGTAGATATTAAGCTTCAATGATGACTACTTAGTATCTTCAAAGGATGAAGAGCACAGAGTGACTGAGAATGCTGTGAGTAGCCCTTAGTCATTTGTTACCTCTTCAATTGCAGAGGCATGGTTGTTTGTATGTTTGGAGCCATACAAACCATATCAGGAACTCATCCAGCCGAAAAAGAACTTTTTTTCCCAGGAGATCACATAGATCAGTTTCTTCCTGTAATTTTTTTCATGATAATAGAAACAGTTTTGTCAGCACAGTAGAATGGCTCAGTGGGGCTGGGAATGAGTAAACAGGAGCACAGCATGGAGTACATTGACTACTTGACTTGGTGATATTGCTGAAGAGAATCTTATGAAACGTCAGTGCAAGGGTCTGTACAGTGACATCTGTCCTGTTTCTTAAGACATACTTTGAAGCTCTTTAGATAAGCACATTAGAATGACTCATTAGTGTTTATTTACAGAAGTTTTTCACATATATTAAGCTTTGACATACTTTTCTGGAGTTTTAAATATAGGTCTTAAACAAGCAGTTTCAAAATTAACCTCAGAAATTATGTTCTTTGGTTTAGGGCAGGACCCTGTGTACCTAGACCCTTTGCCTGCACTCAGATCATTTGTAATCTGGAACTGTATATTCAGTAAATACCATTTTGAATGGCAGAATTCAGTCTGTCTACTAAAATATAATTCTAAACTTTAATCTAGCACAGGGGCAATTTAGAAAATATTAATTGTTAGTTTTGCTGGAAAGGAGGGCAATATCCAAATAGGTAGTTTATTCAGAATGTAGTACTGATTTGAGATTTTGCTCTCTGTGTGTGTCCTTACTCAATTATGGAAATCTTACAGTTGCAACTTCTTTAAAAGTTTTGCAGTGTGAACAGGGAGGAGAGGGTTTTTTGACCAGCCCCGATGAAAATACATGGCAATAGAATACTTGATAGTGAAAATCTACAGTCTTCCAGAAACTTGACTTAAATCTTCCTTGCATTTATTCATGATGTTGTCCTGTCTTGCTCTTAATTCTAGCATGAAATTGTAAAGTTGATTAATGATGTATACATATAGTAATTCTAGGAAACTATACATTTCTATCAGCTGTGGAAGTGTTGTTCATGTTATTGTTGTTCTTTTAACACCGTATAGTGCACGGAAGCCTAAATTTAAGCCCGAATTTGTGCTTTTCTGGCTTGAAACTTAGACTTAAATTTAGGGATTCTTACAAAAAGTAACTTTGGCTTCTACATTAGAAGCAAATGAAGGACCTCAGTCAAGTTACTTGTTTTTCAAAATGAGCCTTAGTTGATAACAGGCTAGTATTTGTCTTGCAGTTTTAGCATGTAAACATCGCTTGAGTAGTGAAGTCCTATCTGAACAAATTATACATACATACATACATTCTTTTTTCTCTTATCTATTCCTACTCAGCTGTTTGAGACTACTTCCTAGTAGCTTTCAAGTTTCAGGTGAAATGTAGAAAAACTTCTCAAATCAAACTTGGAAGAGTTGTCCTGTTACTCTGCTCATAGAGCTTAGTAACCTGTGGAGTAAGTCTCTCTGACTAGATGTGTGTGCATATGTATGTATGTGATGAGAACTGCATTCCCTTTTGCACTGTTAAAAGTAAATTTTTTAAAAAGTGCCAAAATATATTTAATGCATTAAAAATTGGCCTCTGTTCCTGCTTATTGCAGGTAATTTAATATTAGTGCTACTCCCTTAATGTTCACAACTGAGCTTACTAAAACTTACTATTTTCCAATGAGTTGCCACTGAAGGCTGATACTTGCTTTATTCCAGAAGTGAAACAGCAATTTTTTCATTAAATAATAAGCTAAGCTTTCTCTTTCTTCAGTTACCTTCTCTTCTTTAGCTTAATTAAACAATGACATTATAGAACAGCACAGAAATAAAGTTCTAACATGTTTACTATTGATAGTTTGATCTTTTTGTCCAAAGCCTCAATAATGTTTTAGGTGATCTTAATGGATCTAGAAAATTAAAACTCTGTATGTGAGCTAACACATTGATAATCTGCAAACAGGAGGCTTACTAACTGCTTCTCCTCCACAAAACACATGCTAAAGCATCTTGCTGTCTCTTTACCTTTGTAAGCTTATATGAAAAATTAATCCATGCAAATATATAATAACTACAGAAAGTATTTCTACTGGTTTTGTATTAATTTAGAAATAAATTTGACTAAGAATTTTAGGAATAGGTCAGGGAATACTAGGTGAGTACTATAGCATCCTACAAGAGCTTCCAACAAGAGAAGTGGAGCAGCAGTTACTTTGGTTTAAAAATAATATGCTGTTAGCTTTTTTCCAGGAAGGGGTGAAGGAAGGGAGAATGAGATTAAAGATGGGAAAGGAGGCTGAAACACCTTAGTAACATTATCTCTTCTCTTCATTATTTTATCTGCACGTCAACAGATTAATTGTTCCTTTTTGAATTTTTCCATTTTATCCAGCTCTCCCTAACCATTTTTTGTGCTCAGGTCTCCCTTGTATATGTGGGATACCTTATCCTGGGAGGAATGTGAGGTGACTATCCCAATTCTCCCAATTTGTTCAATGTGCATATTAAAGAGGAATTTAATCTTCTGCTGTGTAATCCAAGCTCTCACAGAATGCCTCACTTAAAGAGAAAGGCAATGCATATTCCCTCATAGGAGCACAAGATCAATTGAACAGATTCTTGATAGTTTTATGACCTATGTCCAGTGTTCTACTTTTAATAAAAAAAAAAAATCTGCAAGCTTGATTTATAACACTTTTTAGTTTTTTCACAAGTGTTCTGGGAATCTAACAAATAAGATTAATAAATATAAGATATTAATTGCTTTTCTGATTTTTTTTTTTATGTGTTTACTTTGAGAATACAGAAGCTTAAACTGAGATTTAAAGTAGTCTCTATTGGTAAGGTAGCAAGCTGTTATTCCTTTTCATTCCTTCATCGACCACACATTCTAATATGGAAGTGTAATCACCCAAATGTTTGCTTTGAGAAAGCCTTTTTCTGGCATTAGATACTGTTGCTGCTACATCTGTTGACTAGATAAGGGCCTTGGTGTCTAGTGTGTGTTATGGAAAACTATTCATCAATATTAGTAGTCTTAAGAATAATAACAGTAAAGCATAATTCATAAACTTATTTTATGATTTGAAAACAGACTTAATTAGTGTGTTTGTAAGATATATCGAAATATGTTGCCAGGGTGTTACTGGGTAACACAGAAAAGGGTAAATCACCTTTTGTCTAGTAGAGTTGTCATTAAGCACAATGTATTTAAAACGACAACAACAAATATCTGTGTACAGAGTACTAAACAGCATGTTTGGTTGCAGCTTCAGGAAATGGCATACTTGCTTTAAATTAATAACAGTTAAAGAAACTTTTAGCATGCTGCTTCTTTTTGTTAAGATAGAATAGAGAAGTTTCTCATTTACGCTTGAGGCTTGTAGTTCTTCTAAAGGCAAAGTTGCTGTGAAGTTTTAGTTTTAAAACATATATTTCCTTTTCTTTCAGTAGCTAATAATAGAATTTTCTTGCAAACACTGACAGTTTCTTTTGGAACAGTTTTAGGTAATGATGATGGGTATTATTTAGAAGATGAAATAGTTACAAATATTGCATCAAATGTTAATATTATTCATTTGTGGTCATCTTAGTAAAGTAAGTAGTAGTAAAACTAAAACATGGGTTGAGAGGGATAAGCAGGATTTAGACTGGGAAAAAATTGAGAGAATCATTAATTTAATACATATATTTGTTTCAAATAGATCTAAGAAAGCAAAAAACTCAATAGATAAATCCACTGAGACTGATAATGGCTACGTGTCCCTTGATGGGAAAAAGACAGGTAAAACCAGTGAAGAATGTATGCAGGCCCATGAACGTCGATGTGAAGTGATTAAGCCAGAAGAGTCGGGGTGGAGCACCACAACAGTGAGAGATGCCTTCAACAATCACAGTCATCACAAAGTAAGTGGGCTTCATTGCTTTCAAAGCAGGATTATGAATGTGTCAAATGATACATGAAGTGTATTTTTATGATGCTTTTAATACATTCTTATCTACTTTATCCTGAAAAATGTTTTAAAAATGAAGTTAGACTAGGGTCCTGGGGCCAAAAATTATATTAATCATCTTATTTCATCCTTATATTCCTAGCCTTTCCTTTTTCTTGTAGAAGGATCCTTACTGACATCTAAACATTCTTTGCCATTCTGTATTTCAGTGCACAAATTTGTGTGTCTTTTATCTGTGGGTTTTTCCAGACCAGCTAAACACAGTGTACCTTTTCCTGCCTCTCTGATACTCTGGGCACAGGTCTGTTTCTATGCTAAAATGTAACAAATTTTGGATTACTGACAATTTGTAGTTTTGAGGTCACTTTGAGCATTTGCCTGTGAATCATCTTCTTTTTCTTTTTAATTCTTTGTAGAAGATGAGGAAAGCATGATTTCCATGTCAGTGAAGTAGACAGGACTCTATAGTGAGGAACAGGGATGAGACGGAAGTGTAGAAAGCGGTAATGTAAGAAAGCAGAACTTTTAACTTAGCTGGATCTGATTATATCCTGGATAGCCTATTTTCATCTTGCTGATCTACAGAATAGCTTTTCCAAAATGTTTTTCCTGGCTTTCTTATTGACATTTGAACAGGAGTGCTATTACAGCTGTTATACTTAACTGACTCTCACTAGTATTTACCATCAATGATCAATCACAGCAAGATTTTTTTCCATGATAATATCAAAGGGAAAGCTTATTCTACTGGAATTCTAAAAGTACACATTTTTATAAAGGAAAGACATTCTTTGTGGATTTCATAGCCAAATTATTTAACAGGCCCTTAAAGGTCCATATGATTAAGTCAGTCTGAAGGTGATGATGGTTTACCTCGGGGCAAAAACTTCACTTTGTTGCTCTACAGGATGTGCTTTCTCAGCAGTGATAGCAACTGAGATTCAGTTGTCTTTATCAATTCCAAGCATTTTGCATTCTTGATGAAATTCAGCAAATCAAGGATTTTTAAGAAAAAGTACTTTTAAAGCATTTTAAGTTCCTTTGATATAATGGATGACATGTTGTCTGTGTTTAACTTGCTTGGTGAGTACGCACCCATATTAAAGAGAAATTGACGGAGGCTAGAATTGGCTCCTCTCTTCTCTCCTCCTCATCTCTTCATCCAGGTACAATCAATACATTTTGGTGCCACTGCAAAAGGTAGTAGATAAGACACCTCAGACTGTTCTGCCTGTCCCTTTTACTCTGTGAAACTCAGCTGTTAAAAATGTGAAATGACCCGACCTTGAAGCATCTCAGAAAACAGAGTTCATCATGGAAGAGAGAGTGATGTCTGAATTGCAGGGGGGGAAATGATTTGTTGTATTCATAGAGAATAGCTTCACTATTTTTGTCCTTTTAGCATTTCATTGATGACTCCAAAGGAAACTTTACAGGGTCCTCTCTGGTGATCTCATAATAAATGAGAATGTACAAAAAAGTTTTTGACAGCTGAATAATCCTTTGCTGCCCTTTTTTCTTTCTGTTACCATAAGGACAACTTTAACTTTACTTTAAAATCAGGGAATTTGAAAATGGAATAAATTAATAATGTGAGTATTCTACATGCAATCTGTAGCACTTTATCATTGAAAGAAGAGGTGAATGTTAACTTTGTATTGTATGTGTTGATAACGTTACAGTGTCTGCTATCACAATTTTGGTAGTGGTTTTTTTGTTTGTTTGGTTTTGTTTTTTTTTTTTTTTTTCCCAAATCTTATGGATATATTGCCTCTAAACCTCTCTTGGTAGGTTAGGTTTAGATGAAATTGCATTTAAAATAATGTTAGAATTGTTCTTTAGTATAGTATGAACTAGCCCTTCATCATCTGAGAAATGCTTATTTTGATATTACAATTTCTATTTTATAATTCCAAAAACCACTTGATTTTGACAATTGGAAATGTATTAATATCTGATTTAACTGAGCATAAAGAATAATGTTGCAGGAAGACATTTCATGTCAGTAGCTGAGAATAAGACCTAGTAAGTATGAGTGCATATCTTACTAATACTGTATTTCTTGCACTAGGATATTCACAGAACTGTGACAAATTTATCAGATGAAGTTTCCAGTGAGGAAGGGCCTGAAACTGGATATTCTTTACGTCGCAATGTAGAACGCACTTCTAGTGATTGTACACTTCGAAACAGGAAATCTCACCATTATAAGAAACACTATCCTCTGGAGGTATGTTCTTTTCCATTGCTTCTTTCTTGTAAATTGTTAAAACCTCTTGGTTTCTTATTGAATAGATATATTTTCCTTAAACCTTTTTTCTCCTATATTGATTTTTAGATGTCTATTAATTGGAAGTCATGCTAGTGGGGGACAGTTTTATAGTGTGTGTGGGTTTTTTGTTTTTTTTTTTTTTTTTTTTTTAATGACAGTGTTTTGAAATTAAGAGATTTTTATTTAGTTGTTTTGAGCTTCATCCTATTTTTCAATTTGTTGCGAGGAACATAAAATATATTCTGTAGATCTTGCATCAGGTTATGGCGAACTCTACAGTCTCTTGACACCAGTGATCTCCTCTGGAGAACTGATTTACAGAAACAGTAGTAATTGGGAACATGCAAGTTTTCATCATGCTAGTGCTCCTGTTTTTCTCCATTTAGTTAGTATTTTGGATTCACTAGCCTTCTTGTGGAGAAGTCTGATTGACTCTACCTCTGAGTTGTCATTCCCTCATATTTATTGAAACAATAGTTAAAATATTATAATGAAAACTCAAAAAAAAGTTAATGCATCAAAATATTGATATTTTAGGAGACTTGATGACATTATAGCTTAGAAGAGGGGAATTCATAGATTCTATATTAGCAGAGTCCTTAATCGCAAAGACTCAGATGTTGAAAGAGAAAAGAATGTGTTATTGTGGTTTTATTTATTTATAATTTTAAAGAAATTATGGTCTTTTTTCCTAATGGTGTACAACTTAACAGATACAGGAACTTTTTTTTATAGGCTGTATTGCCATTTTTTCATTAGGACTATGAGAAAAGAGTATAAAGAGTAATTTCAGCTTTGACAAAATCCCACTTACAGATGGGTTTAATAGGCAGAACCTCATGAGTAAGCTTTCTACTTGATACAAGAAACGTCTCCTTAGAAGGATTCAGATATTGCTTTCTCTGATAACAATTGCAAAGCCTTGAAGTTGGTGCTTTACATAAGAATGCTATTAGATAATCTTCTGTTATTTAATTTATTTCTCATGAACTTTAGTTAAAAAGGTCCAGAAGGCTATTTGATTTGTGTTTAATGCCTTATGTATGTTTGGTTTAGGATAACCAAACAGGTCAATACTTGAAACTCTTTGTTTCATATTACAGAAGATGTCTCTTGACTATATACTTGTGCAGCTGGTAGTGATTGACAAGAGGAAGCAGAAAGTCATGATTACAGTGTAATTTTTTTCATCTTAGATATATTTTCTCTTGCATACAGTGCTTCAGAGCTAGGGAAGGCTGTGTAGATGTCTTCAGAAACTGAAGAGACTAAATTTGCTCCGTGTGTAGCTTTGGCAGTGGTATTTTACACTTGTTCCCCGTTGCCATGAAAGAGGAAGCCTTTCTTTGTTTTTACCAACTCGCCTCCCCCACACAATTACAAAGGAAATGAAACAATGGTTTTCAAATCTGTGAAAGCTTGCTTTGTATTTGAAAAAAAAAAAAAAAAAAATTAGTGAAGTCAGTGGATATACTCTCGACTTCTGTCCTACATTTTCTTTTATCTTCATGTTTACTTGTCAACTTAATTGTTGTTTGAAGAAGCTTTTTAAATATTGTTACTTTATTAACTCCAGGTCTCAATGGTACCCAGTAGTGACTGCCTTCTATAAATTATATATACACTTTTTTTTTTAAAGAAACAAAAATGGTTCAGGCTCTTTCTGCATTGATGTTATCCCTCACTTTGTAAAAGAAAGGTAAAGAGTTCAGACCAAATTTTTTCTAAATATTTCTTTACAAAATTGCTTACATAAAATGCATTAAGCATGATTTTCGGGAAGAACAAAGAACATTTCTTCAGATGGTAATGCTTTAGAAATCGTATTAAATTAGTAGGTGTGCTGAAATGTTGTGTGATTTTTTTTTTTTAGTGTAAAAAATTTGTGTATATTCTTGAGAAAAATTAGTAGAAAGAAATAAATTTTGTGTTAAGAGGAAATGGAAATTGCCAGAGGACGGCAATGAGTAGGATGGTACTACTTTTAAGACTACCAGCCTGTCTTACAGGAAATGGATTCTGCTTACTGTAGAAAGTAGTTTAAAGCTCTGCATTCTTACTTCTGAAAACAACATTAGATTGTTGCATATGTATGTGTGGGGAAATTTAAATGTCCCAAACTTAATATATTTCTTTCTTTATCTAAGATATGGGTAAAATTTCAACTTAATAAGGCACGCTTGTTTCTCAAGTACAGTTTGTTGAAAATAATTAAAATTTTAGGTATGACTATGTAGATTACACGTATACCTGTCATTAGCTATGTATACTCACTTATTTTTCCTCTCTACATCTGATGCATAACTGACTTCAAACAAGCTCACTCTCTCTTTGTCTTTGAGAAGGTATGTTAGTAGGGGACAATGGGAGAATGTGATTTGTAGGGGACTTTGAGAGTCAATTCCTCTTTTATTACAGGCTTTTACATTTAGAAATGTACTTCTGGAACATATCAAGCTTTCTTTTAACACTAGTTAAATTGTGTCCACACTGTTTGCTTGAAAGGCTGTTTGAGTGCCACAGGTCTTGGATGACTAGAAATATCTCTCCCTTCTTCCTCCAGGGCCTTGTCCTTTCTAGAGAAAGAGTTCCTTACCATGTAGAGAAATAGCTGAAGCACTTCAGCTCAAACAACTAGAGACAGAAAATCAAAATGTCAAAATACTTTGTGAATGATGCTTTTCTCACTCTCAGTCACTTTTCTGTATTACAATTTCAGTCCAGTGGATATGGCTTTAAGCCTCCCTTGTGTCTTTCACATTTTCACGAAAATAATGAAGCTGTAAAGTGTTTTAAAGGAGACTTAATTTATAGCTTATAAAATCAGAAGTTTGAGACATAGTTGGAGTCTGTGGCTTGATAATTGCTGGTAAAGTCAAAATTAATGAGTTCTAAGAATCTGTAAAACAGTTATTTCCTTTTAATAGTTAAAATTATTTGATTCTTTGTTATGTGACCCCCTTGCCAACAAAGCAAGGACAATGGACTGTTACTTGTTTGTATAGTGTCTAAAAATGTGCAACCTCTTAGACACTCCTTCAATAAACTTGTAATTCATTCTGATGAGAAAGATATTTGATTGGAACATAAAAAACAGTTAAATGCAAATTCACTAATTTGAACTTTATAAATGTTCTATCAGAAAACAATGTAGAATAAAAAAAGCTGCACTAATTCCAATGCATATTTTAATTTCAGGATACACCTAAATCAGGTACTAGCTGCAGTTCTCGGTGTTCAAGCTCCAGACAGGATTCTGAGAGTGCGAGACCGGAATCGGAAACTGAAGATGTGCTGTGGGAGGACCTCTTACACTGTGCAGAGTGCCATTCTTCCTGTACCAGTGAGACAGATGTAGAAAGCCCTCAAGTGAATCCATGTGTGAAGAAAGAATACAGAGATGACCCATTTCATCAGGTTGGTGTCCACCAGTTTTGATTTTTTTACACTACACGCAAGTTCAGTATTACCAGCTTTATCACATGTCAGGAGGCCTGGGAGAAAGAACTCTATATTAAATGAAAGTACCAAAGCCAAAGTGATTTGATAGAATTAAAACAAGGAAAATTTGATTTCTGCTGCTCAGTCATTAATTTGTAAAATGAAGAGGATATGACAGTATACTGAAATAGCCTACAGAATATTTGAGTGTTTGAATCTTAGTTCTAGTTCAGGACAAGTACTGCTTGATTTAAGATTCCTCTGTTGTAGATGTTTGGGTTTCTTTTGTTTGGGTTTCTTGTTTGTTTGTTTGTTTGTTTGTTTGTTTGTTTTTTCCTCTAGTGAAATTACTTTTTTGTGAGCACATATCAGACATCTTTCTGTTTGCTTATATAGAAATGTATATATAAAAAAGCAAACAGAAAGATAACATACATAGTATCTGATGTTATATATAGGTATATATCACGTGTATATATGATGATAGATGTGTGTTACATATGTCTAGGTCCTATTTTAATTTTTACCTTAAAGCTAATAATTTTATTTCCCTTTAATGCTATTCTGTAGCAACATATAGGCAGTCATTTCTGAAAAATCTTAGTGTTTGTTGGGCAACACTTCAGTTGCAGCCTGCCTTGCATTAGTGTTGGACAGAATCCATTGTTACTACTTGATCATTAACAATCAAGTTTTGGTCTTCCTTTGATAAAGTCTGTTCAGATGTCACAGTGCCAGTTATATTTGTAGTACAAGTCTTATCTTTGAACTGCATGTTAACTGCATTGCTAATTTGAACCATTTAAGTAAAGAGATGGAGAGAATGTGAAAGGTTCTTCTGGGTAATTATGTCATATGTATTGGTAGTGCATCATCAGTACTAAGGAATGCCATGCAAGAGATGGTGTTAATGCTAGCAAAGGAAAAGAATTTCAAAAGACAGCCTTTCCACTCCTAAACAGCATTGAAAATGATGTAATTGTTGATTTTTAAACACCACTGCCCACCCCCCCCAAAAGCCCCAAACAAAAAACCAAAAAAAACAACAACAAAAACCCCAAACAAACCCCAATAAACCCCCACCCCCCAAAAAGATAGCAATTTGGATTTCCTACAGTCTTTGCTTTTCTGATTTATTTTTAATTCTTCTTGCTTATATTCCATATAAACACTAAGACGGAAACCTTACAATAGGGAGTTGAGTTGCAGTATGTGCATTGACTTTGTTTTTCTGCAGTTGAGCGTTTTTGTCTTTGATTACAGACTGTGAATTTTTGAGTTTCAGCTCCTGGTGTTGATACTCCCTCTAGAGGGAAACTTTGGAAATCTGTGATTAAGAAAGTCTTGCAACTAGTATTTTCTTTGTTTTAATAGTACAAATCAATTTTTTTCATCCAATGGAGAAAAAAAAAAAGGATATAATTGAGTACTTATCTGAAGTCTTTGTATTCTGCTAAATACTGATAAAATAAAAAGCTTTAATCAATGATAAATTAAATTTTAAAAATAATATCATACT